CGTTGCATAGAAAGTGGGATCCGAGAATGGGCTGGTGAGGGCCAAGTGACCTCCAAGAAACTGCATCTGAACTAACAGCAGGCTTTCCCCTGCACACCTACAGACTCATGGTAAGTGCATCACTTGCCACCAGCTTCTGCAGTGTCTCCCTCTGGCAGCCCAGGAAGTCCTGGAGGTGCTTTAAATGCAGTGACCCCTCAGAGTTGCACACATGCAGTGTCCAAGAGGATGGGTGTGTCCCTGCTACTGGAGTACTTGTTCTTAATCCTCGAGGCTGGACTCCTCCTTCTGCTTGGCCTTGGTCACCACCTCTCTTTAATACCAGGGTCTGTACATTGCCCTGGGTTTACAAGCTGGAATGATTTCCTATTGAGAAACCAAAGCGGGGCATGTGATCGACTTAACTCTTCAGGTATTTTGCTTGAGGAAGTCCAGTGCCTCACTACCTGTCCTCTCCCAGCCTGGCCTAGCAGAACCAGACTGCCTTGTGCTCCTGGCCCTCTCGGTACTCATTGGCAGCAGCTGTTTTTCAGTGGAGTAGGTTTAACTCTCAGTTGCATGTTAGTGAACTGCACGTGACCCTGTTCCCACTACCAGGCTGATTTCTGAGGGCTGGAGTGGGCTTTGGAGGGGAGCCCTGCCCCTGTACATGGTTCTGCTACCAGAGAAGTTTCCCAGACGTGGTGGCCAACTGGCATCTTGTCTTTGAGCCATGGCACATCCATGGCCTTTTGAACCAATCAGGTTTGCCCCCAGGGCCATTGCTGAGGAGGAAGAGCCCTGGTAAATTGATGTCCCCATCCTGGCCACTGCCTTCCCTCCCAGCCCCTGCAGGGAAAGGCCTGCTATTGTCTGAGTCGTCTTTGACTCCCTATTCATAGCTTCTGGGCAGTAGCCTTTCTCCAGGATTCCTCCCTGTGAAAAGGCCAGGGAGGCTGAGCCCTGACTGAGCTGAGCCAGGGAGAAAGAGCAGGGCAGCTATCCAGGCAGCCCTTGGCCCTGCATGATGGAAAGGATGAGCCCTAGACTGACCCTCACAGTATCCCCAGGCAGAGGCTGGGACCAGTCAACTGCCTCCAGGTGGCAAAGGCTCTCTTCCTCATCTAGTGTACTTTGGAAATAACTGAGCTATACTTTGAAATGTATTCAAAAGATTTCCAATAAAATTTTTTCTGTACTTTACAACTTCCTGTCCCACAAGTTGTCTGGATACCTAACCCACCCCTTCCCACTCTAGGCAGGTCTGGGTCACCATCAGGCTCTCTGAAAAGGGGAGGATGGGACCTTGTGAAGCTCAGAAAGTCCTTGGGGCTTGACCACAGGGTGCTGGCAGTGCTGGGTTAGTCAGGAAGCTTCCTAGGGCCTCATTTGCCTTGTATTATTCCCATGACAGTGGAGTGGTGCATTTTAATATTCAAAGAAAATGTTTATCACAAGTACACCTGCAGTAAAATCTCCATGAGAGGTAGACCACTGTCATCAGCTCTTTATTCTTCCTTACACAACACACTTTGCCTGTAGGAGATGGTCCTGGCTGGGAGGGAAGGAAAAGTGGTAGATGCTGCCATTTTTCCAGCAGAAGACAGGAGGGTGCGGTTACTGTTAGTAAGAGGGTTGTGGCTGAGTGAACCTGATGGAAGGAAGGAAGTGAGGGAAGTAGCAGGAAGTTAAGCGCCTGTGCAAGTTTATTTTGCTGCCCTAATCTGATAAATGACCCCAGTAAGGGTGCTGAACTCTTAGGGGAGCTGGGAAGAGAAGGGCCCTGCAGGGACCAGGCCTGTCTGACCCCAGGGGCTCTGCCTGCAGGCCTCCTAACCCTGGCAAAGCTAGCACGGGTTCCTAGTTTTACGCCTTTAGTGGTGGCATGGGAGGGGATCCAGTGTGCCAAAGGCAGAAATCGTTCTAGATGCAAAAGAGACTAACTGTCCACCTCCCTTCTTGTTGAATGAAGTCAGTCAGACCGCAGAACAAAAACGGGACCCTCAATGCATGCATGATGGCTCACACCTGTAATACTATTTTGGGAGGCTGAGATTGGGAGTATCAAGGTATGAAGTCAGCCCAGGCAAATAGTTCACAAGACCCCCATCTCCAAAATAACCAGAGCAAAATGGACTAGAGGTGTGGCTCAAGTGGCGCATGCTTTGCAAGTGTGAAACCCTGAGTTCAAACCCCTGTCCCACCAAACAACAAAAAGACCCTCAGATTATAAATTCAGCCCAAACCTCAGCCCACTCTTGCCAGAAAGGTTTTGTGCACTCTTGCAGTTAGTACATTAACTACATATGACACTGATCCTAAACCTGACTGCAGCAAGGGCATTTGCCCAACCTGTGGGTCAGAAATGTTGGACCATTCCTGCTGACCACCCCTTGAGTTGGGATTGACAGAAGCAAAATGCTCAGCTGTGCCATGACCAGCAGTGGTGTCCTACTCCTGTGAAACATCTCTGCACTCCACCCCGGAGACACTGCCGCTAAAGCTTTGGGAAATTGGTCCTCGAAGACCTCAGCATAGGCTCTGCCAGTAGCCCAGCCCAAGTAAACAGCTCTTTCTCTCTCCTCCTCCCTTCCTGTTTCCTGGCCACAGCCTTGATGCTCCAGTTGCCCCCCTTAGGACTGCACAGAGCTAGTAAGAGGAGGCTACCCGTGTTATGCATTAAGGTTCCGAGATGACAGCCATAGTTGTGCAGTGGGACTCCTTGGAGCTCAGGGCCGGTGTTCATCACCATCTTATCACTGCCTGATTGTGCTCTGGCTGGGCTGGCCCAGCCAAGCAGGCAAGGAAGTGGAAAAAGCAGGCCCAGATGAGGCTACCATGGCCATCTGATTGCAATAGGCAGTCACACAGAAGACACCTGAAACTTGGCTTTGACAGCTGTGCCAAGTGAATTTTTGGCCCCTACACTCCCGGTGACAAACTGTTAAAAAAAAAAAAATCCCATGGTAGAATCTGGTAAGATTTACCATCTTCTTTGTTGTTTTTCATTGCTCGGGTTGGACGCCAGGGCCTTGTACATGGTAAGCAGGTGCTCTACTACTGAGCTAACGACTCAGCCCAAAATTTACCATCTTAACCTTTAAAGCAAAGCAAATCTGCTTGAAAGAGGAAGGGAAAACCTGATCTTTCATAGCCTCTACCTGGTAGGTGGCTGGTGGAAAGTTTCACCTCCTATAGCCAAGGGCAGGGTGAGGAGAAAAGTAAGGCAGAGGTGTGGCTCAAATGGTAGAGTCCCTGCCCTGAGTTCAAACCCCTAATACTGCCAAAGGAAAAGGATACAGGGGTTCCAAACCAGCTGTCACTTCACTCATGGTCCTGGTTACCACTGTGTTAGGTACCGCAGACAGTATTTTTGGTCCTCAGAGGAACCACATTCTGATGAGATGGTCTCAGAAAGTGAGGCCAGTACTATGTCACTGTTAGAGGTGGGAACTGATGGAACCATGAGCCAAACCCTAGTGTGACTCCCAAGCCATCCTATGTTCACCACAGTCCACTCTAGTTTTCTCCCTTGCTGGCTTTAGAAAAATCTAAGTTCCCTTCAAGCTTCCAGTACCTTCCAGGTGAGAGCACAAGGGCTCTTGGTCCTAGATACAACACATGCAGATCTGACCAGCTGGAATGCTGCAGGTACAAAAAAAAAGTGACAGGCCTAGAAGATGGCCTTTGACCTGCTCACAAGTGATGGACTGGAGGACAGTTTTCCATCTCCATTTTTATTGAAATACAAAAAGTGCAAATGGTGAAATCCATGATTGGTGCCAAGGAAGTCATACGTGTGAATGTGAACACTTGATTCACAGTACAAGTGCCCCCAGGTTCAGACCAACAGATCAGGGGACAGGAGAAAGACAAGATATATTCAAAAGGCACCCCAGTAATTGGGACTGTGAGAAACACTTTATATACAAAAGAGGGGGTGGGGTGCAGAAGCAGTGGCCCAGGGAAGGCCAGGCTAGCAACACAGAGACTGACAACCAGTAGCAGCTCCAGACTCCTGGAGGCCTGGGGCCGGCTCAGTGAGAATCCCCACACTACAGGCTCTGGAGTCGGTTTGCCTGGCCACAACTGTGGTGGCAGGGTCACTAAGTACGTACCTGCAACCAGGGGAAAAGGCTGCAGGGAGAGAAACTCAGGGTTCATCAGGAAAAAGTGGAATGAGGGAGATCAACTATCACTGGGGTCCAGGTTTTCTGAAAGATAATAGATTCCTGGGCCCCATACTCTCTCTCAGGAAGGTTGCTAGAATTGCCCAGCAGGGGCTGATCTAGCAAAATCTCTGCCCCTCCTATGGGCCTTCTAGGCTTCTACCCCTTCAAGAATCCCCAGGCTAGAGGCACTGAATCACCTCTGGCCAGAGCAAGGACCAGAGTGACTCCACAACAGACACATCCACAAGAGCCTGTGGCTGAGGACCTGTACGTGTGAGAGAATACAGGTAAAGGCATGGAGAGTAAAGACTGCTCACCACATGCCCACCTGACGCTAGAGCTCTCCCTAGGAGGGAAGGGGCCTATTGCAATGGCTGCTGGGATTCTGAGTCCTGTCATCCAAGCTGCTGGTCTTGGAGAACTAGGGGATAGGACATGTTGAGGCAGTAAGTACCACTTGGCAAAGGCGGACCCAGTAGGCAGAAATAGGACAGTGACTCCAGCCTTGTCATTCCTTAGCTGCGGAACTACCCAAGTTGAGCCATTAGTAGGCAGGACAGGATCAGGGTACTTACATCCAGGCAACACTTGGTGGACTCCTAAAAAAGCAGAGCAACTGACCCAGAAAGGGAGGCACCTCAGCTCGGCCAGGCCAAGCCAAGGACCTCAGCTGTCCATTCCCTACCAATCAGGAAGGAGAGGACCAGCCCCAGCTACCAGCCCAGCCAGCAGTGATTTTGTGGTCCACAGCTGCCAGGAAAACAGAGGCAGGAAAAAGCAGGAAACGGATTACTGGGGCTCAGTCCTTCTCCATGTTGAAGAGCCAAACCCAGCTCTGGAGAGCCCAGCAGAAACCAGGCATCCGGAGAGGCAGTGAGAAGTAGAAGGCGAAGAAAATGTCTCATGGTAACAGCGAGGCCGCCAGGGCCTGTGAGTTGGAATGAACTGAAGGAAGGAGTTGCTCCCTGGTTGACTGGCTCCAGCATCCATCTCCAGGGACTTCACAGCCCTTTCTGGAGCCCAGGGCTCCTGCAAGCCTGACACCAGGAGCAAGAGTCCAAGCGGGGACTGCCAGAGCAGGTGGGTGGGGGCTGGGCTCAGGGCCCCTTGGCCTCAGTGCTGGGGAACAACTCCCCTTGGTGATCCAGGAGGAACTTGGTGAAAGTGTTGATGGGGTTGATGGCCTTGAGGGTAATGGCAGCATCCTTGGCCCACAGCAAGTTAGGGCCGAAGACCACAGCCAGGTTAGTGTTTGTCATCTTGTTCTGCTCACAGTGGGCAGAAATCTGTGGAGGGAACGGTGGGGGAGCTGTAGGCTCTCCTCCCGCCCTCCCTTCACCCCCGGGTTAGCAGTAGAGGCGGGGATGAGATCTCACCTGCACCAGGAAGGCAGTCAGAAAACGAAGCACCTGGTAGTTCTCCTCTGGCAGTGTCCGGAGGACCTGCTGTGTCGCCTCCACTCTCTGGCTCTCATCAATGTCTATGAGGAGTAGGGCCCAGGTTACAGGGATACTAGGCTGACTCAGGACACCCTGACCCAAAGCCAGTGCGGAGACCTAACCAGACCTCCTTAGAGATGCCTAGGCCCACAAGCTTCCAGGGCAGTGTGGGTGGGTGAACAGACAGCAAACACACCCACCCCAAGTTCAGTCCCAGGCCTGGCAGAAGATGTGGCTGGGGAGGGAAGAGAGGAGAACTCACTGAGGAAGCCCACAACATGAAGGTAGAGGTCAAAGGTTAGCAAGGGCTCAGGAAGCTCCCGAAGAAAGGTCTTGAGGATGACCGCTGGCAGGTGCAGCTCATTGTACTGGTCAAAGTCCACTGGTAGGCCTGGGTGGGCAGAGGCAGTAGGGAGAGAGCTAGGCCCAGCCCAGGCCAGCAATCCATTGGAAGCCAGGCAGGTCCCACTCCACTGAGTCACTGCATGAGCCCCCTCTTTCCAGGGGACCTCTTACACCTGACTCCCCTCTTCCTCTGCAGCAGGGGATGCTGGGTGGAGTGGACCCTTTGCATACATTACATTGACTCCTCACCTCTGAATGAGCCTGAACCCAGGGCCTCAGGGCCTATAGATGAGGCAGCAAGCTTGGGATAGCCAAACAGAAGTGGGACCATGTAGTGACACCAAAAGTCACAAAAACCTCTGACAGGAAGAGAAGCTGGCACATTGTTAACAAGGTAGGAGAAGGGAGACAAGCACCTCCCCCCAACAATTATACTATGCACCCCTCCTCTCTCTCTTGCATGCACTCACGTGCACACACACACACACAGGGCCTGTACCCCCCCCCCACTCACCCATGTTGTATTTCTGCTGCACTTCCCGTACGACTTGGGTGTTGGCTGATCTCCGAAAAATGCCCTCAGTGGTAAGAGCTGGGGAACAGTGAGCCTCAGAGCGCTGGCCAGTAGTGGTTTCCCAACCCACTCTGCCCACTCTGTCTCATGGCTCCAATGGGGGCAGACCTACCCCACCCCTGCCCAGAGCTCAAGGGCAGCTGAGGCAGGTAGGCTTTGGAAATCAGTGGTCCCACAGCTGCTGACCAGGGCCCTGGCACTCACCGTGGGCCTGGAGGTAGGCAACAGTTTCCCTGAGCACAATTGGAATGGGATCCTGCTCTGGGTTCTTCTCTTGGAGACTACGGAAACAGGGATGACAAGCTGGGTGTAAGGCCTGGCCTAGCTCCAGAGCCCTGGCCGTCCACCCTTTGCATACTCACTGCTGCAATGAGACACCAAACTGCTGGTTGGGCAGGGGAGGCCGTGGTGGCATGGGCTTAGGGGCTGTTGCAGGGCTCTTCTGTGTGGATTTGAGGAAGTCATCGTACCTAGGGGAGCAGATGGGATGAGAATCAGGCCCTCTGGCTCTGTGTGTGTAGTTTTGAAGGTCAACTTTATTAGGCCTTTACTATGCAGTTTTACATGTGAGGTTCATTTAATCCTCAGAACAACCCTACCTCATGTGACACACAAGGAAGCACACACTTTAAGAGATCCAGTCACAGATTGTAAGTGACAGAAATGGGGGTTTGGTTTTGCTATGACTGACACTATTTGCCATCTGAATCATGACACTGGCTTTCTCCCATTACTCTGGGCTCTGCTGACTTCCCTCCCCTGGCCAGCTTCTCCTGCCCCCAGACATAACATGCATACACATATTGTGGGCACGCACAGTCCCTGCCCACCAGCAACCCTTCCCCGCCTCACTTGAGCACTTGGCGAGGATTCCCAACTGCTCCAGCTTCACATGTTCACTCAGCTCACTCAAGTAATTCACATAGAAGATCTTCCGTCCAAACTTGAAGCTGTCAATGGAAGGCCTGGGTCAGGGTGGGCCTCCAGGTAGGCTGTAGCTCTCCCCTCAGCCCACCCAGTTCAGACAGAGGCTTTGCCTCAAACTGGTAGCCTGGGCGCATGCTCAGAGACCACCTGCCTCCTGGGGCCTGCTCACCTAATGAGGGGCTTGAAGAGGATGAGCAGGGTTTTGATGAACATGGTTGGGTGCACGATGTACAGGGCTTTGATGTTCTTCTTGTACCTGTGGGTCAGACAGGGAGTGGGTAGGGCAGGAGACACAGGGCTGGTTCATTCTGTTTGCTTTTTAAGACGGGGTCTTCCTATGTAGGCTTTTGCTTTAGTTATTTTTCCGATAGGGTCCTGAGTTTTTGCCCTGGCTATCTTCAGACAGATTCTCCTACCTATTCCTCCCTCATAGCTTGGGATCACAGTTCTGCACCACCACACCCACTTATTGGTTGAGATAAGGTCTTGCTAACTTTTTTTTGCACAGGCTGGTCTTGAATCATGATTCTCTGATCTCTGACTCTCGAGTAGCTGGGATTAAAGGCGTGAGCTACCATGCCCAACCAGGGCTGCTCCTTAGCAAACAAGCTAAGTCTGATTTGACTACTTGAAGTGCCATTGTTGCCCCACTTGATGGACTGGGAAACAAAAGGCTCAGCAAGGTTCAATAACATAAAGGTCACAGAGGAGTGTAGATTCTTTGTGTTCACCCAGATGGGAACCCTGCCTCCTGCTAGCATGGAATAAGCTCCTGCCTAAGTGGAGGGCAGCCTGAAGCCTACAAAGGTGCTAGCCCAAAGCTACCTGTTCCAGGTCCAGGAACCCACCCCCATGCACCAACCCACTTTCGGTCAAACTCCCGGTAAGCATCCCGCAGCCAGCTGAGAGAAGGCTTGTTGTCACTGGTGAGGCCATGGTGCAGGTAGAGCAGTGTGTAGTCACTCTCCACATACTGGTCCAGTGTGTGCTTCAGGTACCTTCAAGAGAAAAGCCCAGGGCTGGGGACATAGCTCAATGATGAGGTTCTTGCCTAGCATGCATCAGGCCCTGGGTTCCATCCCCAGCACCATGAAGAAAATGAAAGAAAAGCCCTGCTCAGACCTGTCCTGTGCACAAGTATGGCCCGTTAAGACAGATGCCGGTGCTCTGGGTCTCCTGCTTGCATGTACTCCGTTCCCCATGAGCCCTCCCCAGTGTCCATTCTGGCAGTAAAATCAGTCACCAGAAGGTAGCATCTGGGCTAGGCAAAGGAAAAACAGTAACAGCTCTCATTGTGGGCACTGGCTAGAAGTCAGGAGACCTGGACTCTAAGCTGGGACCTTTCACCTACCTGCAGTAAAAAGGGCAAAGCATTTTCCCCCCAGGATCACCTGAGTCAGTAAATAAGGACAGTCACTGCTTTCAACATAGGGTTTAGTATCTGCCAAGGGCTTCTGATACATTATCTCATTTCCTCAAAACATCTGATGCTGATGTTTTCCCCATCTTAACAAATGAGGCAATGAGCAGAGGTCCATGTCTGTCCAAGGTGACACAGCTTGTAGTACAGCCAACTCTACCACAGCATTCTAGACCTTGGGACAGCTCTGCCTTTACATGCAAACTGTGCTACAAACTGTAAAACACTGTGCCCAGGAGAGGCAAGGGTGGTCAACTGCTCTAATAATTAGGCTTTTAGTGGAACAAAGAGCCACATCTCAGGTTCCCTATTCTTACAAGAGGGTATCTACAATACAGGCGACACTGAGCACCCTGAGACATAAGGAAGGAACAAAAGAGAATGCAGGAAAGGATGGGAGTTCCAGCCACACCCTCTTGCTCCAGCAGGAGCAGCTCCGAACTGGGCAGGCCAAATGCTATAGACATCCAAGAGATGAGAGGAGAGAAAATGCCTGGAAGTGCCAAATCCATGACCTAACCTAGAGAGAAAACTAAAGACTGGTCCCTGGGTACTAGACTGGGTTGGGCAAGCACAGGCAGGCAGCAGACTTGGCTAATGAGAGATTATGGATTCTAATCACTCCTAGCTACAATTGGTTACCCATTATCTACAGTGAGCACTTTGTAACAACCAGAGAGCTGTCACAGAAATGATGGCATTTTGCTACAATGAATATAACAAAGATTGTAGTCAAAAACAGACACTCTCATCTACTGATAGATGTTCTGGTCTTTTGGAGGGCAATAAAGTGATATTTATTAGAAGATATAAAATGTTCAGCCTCTTTGATCTTGTAAAAATGTATCCAGGAATTTTTACTAAGAAAACAGAGAGGAACAAAAACATTTTTGTAGGAAGCTATTTGTTCATTCCAGACTTTTATGATAAAAACAACAACAACAACAACAAAAAACACTGAGCAGCAAGCAAACTGTCCAACGTCAGGGAATTGGTTAAAGTCATGGGACACCTATAAACAGGATATCTCACAAGATGTTTCTGTAGACAAGACGCATCTGTAAAGTCAGATGTTAGAACAGTGGTTACCCTCTGAGGAGACTGGAAGAGTAAAGGGCAGTCTGTGGGTGTGGCTGAGATCAGGTTTGGTTTGGGGTTTTTTTGTTTTTGTTTTTGTTTTTGGATTTTGAGACAGAGTCTTGCTATGTAGCCCAGGTGGGCCTTGAACTTGTAATTTTCCTGCATCTGCCTCCCAATGGCTGGGATTACAGAAGCACACCACTATGCCCTGTTAGTTATATGCCTGTAGTCCCAGCTACTCAGGAGGCTGGGCAAGATAACTGCTTGAGCCCAGGAGTTTGAGACCAGCCTGGACAACATAGCAGAACCCTGTTTAAAAAACAAAAACAAAAACAAAACAAAATTATGAAACATATTTACAACTTGTTCACTTTTCTATATATATGTTATATGTCAATAAAATGCTTTTTAAAGGATGTCTTGGAGGAATTTTTTATTTTATTTTATTTTGTGGCAATAGGGTTGACAGGTGCTCCATCTGCTCTACCACTTGAGCCACTCCACCAGCCTTTTTTTGTGATGGGTTTTTTCAAGATAGGGTCTCCTGAACAATTTGTCAGGGTCTGGCTTCAAACTGTGATCCTCCTGATCTTAACCTCCTGAGTAGCTAGGATTATAGACACCTGGCTCAAATTTTTAATTTTTAAGACATAAAACTAATTACAGTTCCAAATATGTTATAAAAAAAACAGGAAGTGAATATAACCAACTATTAAGACTATTTTTTATAGTAGTCTATTTTTTTTCATCATAGCTCTTACATTTTTCTTACCTTTCAAAATTATAATACTTCTAAAATGTATACAATGGCATTTCATGTATATTGTCTTACTGCCAACAACCCTGTGAGGTGGGCACAATTACTATTAATTTTCTTTTTTGGGTGGGACTGGGTTTGAACTCAGGGCTTCATGCTTGCAAAGTAAGCACTCCTACCACGTGAGCCACACCTCCAGTCCATTTTGCTTGGGTTATTTTGGAGATGGAAGTCTCTCAAACTATTTACCCAGCTTGGCCTTGAACCACAGTCTTCCCTATCTCAGCCTCCCAGTAGCTAGGATTACTACCAAACCTAGGATTACTAGGTTTCGGTACCCAGGGCCAAAAGTACTAAGCAGACACTTAACCACTGAACTACACCTCCAGTCCCAAGCACAATTATTTTTATAGGGTTCAGAAAAGACTTGCCCCAAAGCATATAGCTAGTTAAGAGGCAGAGCCAAAGTTTAATTGGTCTTTTCTTCAGGCATTTTCCATTTCAACCCCTCAGATCTGGGTGGGGAACTAGGAAAGCCAAATCTGAGGTAATCTGACTAAAAACAGGAAGACTAATTCAAGGTGGAAGCGCCGCCCTGCTCTCAGTAGGGATTGTGACCAGACTCTGTGTCTGTGTGTTTGCAGTGACAGGACAGAGAGCTCACAGCAGTGGGCATCCTGAGCCTGAAGGAAACCCCAGAATGGCTGCAGCTTTCCTCAGCAACAGTCTCCTGAAAGTTAGGTGCTTTCCTAGCCCCACAGTCTGACTTCCTTCCTCTGTAGCTATTATCTGGCCAGTCACCTGGCACACCAGACAAGGTAGGAAAGCTAAAGAAGAGGGCCTGTGACTCAGCCACCCTCAGGCTGAGCTGTGGCCTGTTCCTGGCTAGGCCATGTGGCAGGTCTGGACAAGACTCTGCCTACCTCATGTGAGGAGTCACAGGAGGAGAGGTCAGGAGGCCAGAGATATGTTGCCCTAAGCCCCAGCCTTGGATTACATGGAGCTAGCTGAGACTCCAGACTCAGACCTAGCAGCCTGTCCCCACCAAGTACCCTGTACACATGCACAAACACTCAGGACCTCAAAGAGCTGCTGTGAGCTGTGCAGAAATTTTCAATTTCAGGGAGTGTGTTAAACTGTGCAGGAAAGATGTGCAAGATGGTGGCTCCGAGAAAACTCCAAGAAAACTGTTGGGCTTCCATGGACAATCCCACCCCCAGGGTGATGGCACGCTGATCCCTACTGTGGGTCCAGAGCTGGCTCAATAGTGAATGGTTTCCAGAAGATGGTCTGCCACATGTCCAGCCTATAGATGTCTATACTACATCCATATGGCAAAGAGAATCCACACAGGTACAGAAATCTTTAGCACCAAATTTGACCTAAAATAACACTAATTATGAATAATTCTAATTGTTTCTATAAATGAGAAACAATCATCACATGAGAAATACCATTTAGGATCATTTGGATGGCATTTTACTTTTCAAGTCACTTCACGTGTAGAATTTCACGTGCTACTTGTTTCCCCCTTGAAATGTGAGCAAATGAGTGTCAAGGGCGCTTGCCAAATCCACACAGGATCTTCCAGGACCAGAGACCAGGTCTGACTTCCAGCCCTCTGCTCTCTCCCAAATGTAAAACAGCACCCTTACCAGAAGGGGGGAAAGGAGGCAGTAAAGCAAGTGGCTCCAGCCACTTCCCCATGGGTACACTCACCCCAGGAGCTTGCTGTGGTCCAGCTGGTGGCTAGGGGGCATTCGACAAGCACTGAACACAATGATCTTCCGCCCATACTTGTCATCTCCTAGGTGTGGAGAAAGATGGAGCACAATGGGTCAAATAGGAGCTCAAAGAATGAGGGTGGGGCCAGCCCGGGGATCTGTGCCAGCGAGTACAGGGGACCAAGAGTCCCATGCATTGGGAATACTGTGTAAGAAGGACTAGCTGCTTTCAGGGCCACCAAAACGCACAATAAAGTAACATGACTTTTTAGACTCATGCTGGAAACAACCCAAATGCCCATCAATGAATGACTGGATAAAGAAAACGTGGATTATCAATGCTATGGAACTCTGCCTGGTCACAAAAAGGAATGGAGTACTGACGAATGCCACAAATGGGTGAACCCTGGAAACATGCCAAGTGAAAGCAGCCACACCCCAAAGAATGCTTACCTACTATAAGTCCACTTACATGAGCTATCTAGAAGTGAATCCATAAAGAGAGAAAGCAAAGTGTGGTTTCCAGGAGTTGGGATGAGGGGCTTAACAGGTACAGAGTTGATATGGCCATGGGTAGTGAAAGTGTGGAATAGCATCAGAAGTGACAGCTTACGGAGTTGTCAATGTGCTAAATACCACTGCATTGTGCACATGAAAGTGACTGACTTTGTTTTGTAAACTTTATCTCAATTTAAAAAGACCTTCACATTCACCAAAGCATCTATTATCTTGCCAACCAGTTCTGCTACATTTACGCACCCTGTATGAGCAGGAGCAGCTGGAAAAATCTCTTGAAGCTACCTTCTCAGCAAGTCTGAGGCCACAGAGGATATCGTGTGGTCACTTAATAGTCCTGTCTCACTTCTGCCCACTGACAACACTTTCTATTTTATTACTAGAATGACTGAGCACACTCGACCAGACTTACCTCTGGACACCTATAAAAATCATCTTTCCCATTAAGGATATTTTAAAGAACACACAATTCAGAGGAGTGTGTAAAGCTGTGGCAAAATGCTCACCATGGCATCAGCACTCAGAGATGTTTGCCCCTGACCAGCTGGCTCTGTCATGAAGTCAGGAAGCTCTTGAGACACATATTGTTGCCCCAACTGACAGCGTGGATGGGGGCTTCCAGGAAAACAAAGCGGACAAGGACTGCTCCCCACTCTTCTATGTCCCAGGGACCTTCCTTTCACCCCTACAGAGATACCAAGCTGCAATTAAGTAACCCTTCAGCCTTAGAGGCAAATAAAAGACCACCTATATTTCTCCCTGAAATGCAGGGAGAGTCTGTCCCTCCACTCTATCACAGGACTACTAGTAGGCGCTCACTCTGGCTGAGTATCTTCCCTGCTTACAAGTCATGATCCTGACCGTCCTTTGTGATCCATGATGAAACCTGGGAGTCAGTACTTTTACAGAGAGTTCCCAAGGCTCTCACCCTTTTCCCTAGGGCTAAGGCATGGCTCACTAGAGGAAGGAGGCTTCTGGAATGTGGCCAAGGTGGCCCTGTGCCTGCAGGCTACATGGCCTGGAGTTTTGACCTGATTTAGAACCTCACTCCTAGCAGTCTGACTACCTTGTCCAGCTCTTCCAGTTTCCACCCAAAGCACTGCATGGCTCTGTTGACCCTGAAAGGTCCTGGTCAGGGTCCTCCAAGAATTTCCTGGGTCAGTGTCTGAGGCCCAGCACACCAAGCCCAGAAAACAGGCTCTGTCCTTCCCACTAACTTGCCTAATGTCTAGCTCTGGAAGATTACAAACACCTACCTGCCCTAACTGTCCTGGAACACCTTTCCTCCTGAGTCCTACCCTAGATACTCTCTGTTGACCTGATACTGTAAATGTTTCTTAAAACAGCTCACGAGGCAATCAGGGCTCAACCCCACCTCTTTCTAGGCCTACACCATGCACATTTCTAACTCAGAAGCCCACAGGCTGGGTTGGGACTCTGCTATTTCTCATACCACACAGGCCTTTCTCAAGACAGTTCTGCTCCCTTCCTCTATCCAAACTTCTATGAACCCAGGAGACTCAACCAAGGCATGATCACCTCCCCTTCCTCCCCCAGACAGGTAAGGTGGCCCTTTTCATGGCCTCCAGCACGAACCGTCATCTACCCCCGCCATGACACTTTGGCTCTTCTGTGTAATTGTTAATGCTCCATCTCCTACTGTCTCATGAGAGGCTTGTAGACTAACACATCCAGTCTGTCTTTGAATCTCTAGTACTGGTCCTACAGATAACAGGTATTACGTAAGTGTCGGTAGCTGGGTACAGTGGCATGCGGCTGATCATTTGAGCCCACAAGTTCAAGAATAGATAACCTAATAAGACCTTATTTCAAATAATAAATGTTGGTAGCTTGCACAATCACAGGTCACAATTATATGGTGCATAGTTCCATTTGTGGGGTTTTTGTTTTGTTTTGTTTTGTTTTTTGTTTTTGCAGTACTGGGGTTTGATCTTACACTTGCTAGGCAAGGGCTCTACCACCTGAGCCACTCTACTAGCCTGCTTTTTATGTTGAGTAGTTTTGAGATAGGGTCTCAAGAACTAATTCCCATGGCTGGCCTCGAACCATCATCCTCCTGAGTAGCTAGGATTACAGATATGACCTACCATGCCCAACTTGTGAGTTTGTTCTTGATGCTTAGGTTACAAATAAGACTTTTAGTGAGTTTCCCAAAGCCTGGGGCAGAATTCCAAATTTCACCAGACTGATAAGCAGAGAAACCTTTCCATGCCAGTGTGAAGAGGAAGAAGGTCTACTTTATACAAATATAAATACACACACACACACAGAGTTATTTTTAGTTAGCCCAGTCTGTTCTAGAACTCACAATCTTCCTGCTTCAGCTTCCTGAGTACTGAGGTTCCAGGCCTGTGCCACCAAGCCTGGTTCAGGTGCTCCTGCTGTCTTCCATGCCCTAGTCTAGACCCTGATGTGCTAGGTCCCTTCTAGGCCAGCTGAAGGTTGTCTCTGGGGCTGCTGTGAACCTATTCCAATTTGCTTCTCTGGCTCTGACAGGAAGGAAGAACAGACTGGCAGGGAGCAAGGACACAGGGTTGCCTGGAAGCCTAGCCACACAATCTGGAGTTTTGGAAATCCCTGGAACTCCCACCAGGAGTGTAGAAAGAGGGGACTGCATCATCTGCCTACTCCCATCTAAGCAGAGGAAATGCCTAGAACGCAGGAAGGAATTCTAGGAAGAGTGTGGGGGCTCTGAGAAGATACTTTCTACTGGACACTGGTGGCTCACACTTGTAAATCAATGTGTGAGGTCTCATCTCCAAAGTAACCAGAGCCAAATGGATTAGAGGTGTGGCTCAAGTGGTAGACTGCCTGCTTTGCAATTGTGAAGCCCTGAGTTCAAACCCCAGTCCCAGCCAGCCGCCAGTAGCTCACGTGTATAATCCTAGCTACTCAGGAGGCAGAGATCAGAATTGTGATTAGAGGCCAGGCTGGGCAAATAGTGTGCGAGTCCCAATCTCAAAAAAACCCTTCACAAAAATGGGCTGGTGGAGTGCCTCAAGGTGTAGGCCCTAAGTTCAAACCCTAGTACTACAAAACAAAACAAAACAAAAAAACCCAGTACCACAAAAAAAAAATTTTTTTTCCATCCTCTACCCAGCAGTATGGCAGCCCTCATTGGCTGGCAGAGTTAAGGACTCAGCAAGGCAGGTCTGTGAGCTCTCATAGCTTTGGAATGTAAAATGTCAAAAAGAGGTTAATGCAACAGCTGGGGTGAAGTCAGGAGCCTGTGGTTCTACTTTTCAGCTGGCCATAGCACTTTGGAAATGGGCAGCTATGGGCTCTCAACCAGGGCTCCACCAATGGGCTTGGCAGATCCACCATCTCCATGATGTTATACTCAAAAAAATATTACAAGTATATGCACACTTTTTCTAGAGAGACTCACATCCTGGGAACACCTTTCATGGTCTCAAAGAAGCCTGTGACCAGTTTTAAAAACAACTATACTTCACTAGACTATAATTTTTTTTCAGTGTTGGGAATTAAACCTAGGGATTCAAACAGGCTAGGGCAAGTGCTAGATTGTAAACTTCTTGAGGGAAGGAATGTGGGGTTTTCCTCAACGAGTCCTCAATGCTGGCTATAAGCCTTGTCCTAAACGTCTACAATATTATTCTAGGAATGTATACTGCATGAAGCCAGAATGGGACTAGGGGCCACTGGGGAGCATTGAGGGGCTGGATAGGAAGCCCCTACCCAGCAACTCCTAGATAGCAAGGAATAAGGGTATGGGCACCCCTTTCCTCCCACTCCCTTAAGGGGAGTTTCATCACCCATGTCTTTGGGTGGCCTGGAATCCAGAAGCAGGCAGGGTAGCGGTTGTAGCGAGAAGCACATGCGGCCAGGCACCAGTGGCTCACGTCTGTAATCCCAGCTACTAAGGAGGCAGCCCTGGGCAAATAGTTCACAAGACCCTACCTTGAAAAAACCCATCACAAAACAGGGCTGCAGAAGTGGATCAAGGCCTAGCAAGCGTGAGGCCCTAAGTTCAAACCCCAGTGCCACCAAAAAAAAAAAAAAGAAAAAGCACACGTGAAGAGGCCCAGAACTCCCCTATCTGCTCTCAGAAAGAAGCAGATTCTGCCCTTGAGACTTAAGGGAGAGATGGGGCTGGCAACTGTGAGTTTCCAGTGCTGGGGAGAGGGTTCCATGAGGAGGGTGCAGCACGACAAGTTGTCTGCGAGCAAGGCCTCTGCATTCCCCAGTCAGGGCCTCTCCTAGGGTGGACTGTGTGCTAATCAGCTACAGGACAGCTCCTTCAGCCAGTATTCTGGGCAATGCCAGTCCAACCGGAGCCTGTCCACAACTTGCAGATCAGGCCAAGGACATGGAAGGTGGAACTGGGCCTGACACAGCCAGTGATGTGCTGGCCCAAACATTTGTTAAATTGTTAAACTGTCAGGAATTTTGCAAGCCCACTGACATCATACTAGCTTGAAACTAGCTGTGCAGAAACAGTAAATGATACAAATGATGGCTTTTTTCCTTTTTTCCAGAGAGCCCACTGCTAAACATTTACCAGTACATCACTAGAAAGAACCCCCTTGGACTGAGTTAAATTAGACCAAGAAGCATGATGGCCACTGCTAACAGGGACAACACAGGCTGCAGAGGAGTTGGAGGACACAGCCCATTGTCTCTTCTACATGGGCTTTTTTCCCATTTCTAACCCTGGGGATGTTACCATGGGCTCATCAAAAAAGCCTTACTCTGGTGGTGCCAACCTGGACTCCTTGCATCAATCAGCAAGGCATACATACCACCAAGGGGCCCCAAGGCCAGAGTGCAGGCCTGGCCTACTATGGACAAGGCCCCTCCCTCTCATGGAGCTCCTACCCTTTGGGCTCTGGGTGTGTCCACACACAGCCTCCACCCTGTCATCCCTCCCATAAACTCTGCTATTTCCGGCTCCCAGGCTGCGCCAGCATCCAGCTCCCGAGTGGGACTGCAATTAAGCTGGCCCCACTGGCCTCCACCAAGAGCCCTTCCTGATTCACAGCAGAGACTGCAGCCCAGAGAGTCCAAGCACAGACAACCAGGACTGACACCTACCTGGCTGGGCCCCCTCAGGCTCATCACACCCTGGGGAAACAGAAACAAGCTGCAGAGCTGCTTTCTGGGAGACCCACAAGACAAGGAGGAGCAGCCTGTCTTGTGACTTGACCACATAGGTCAGAAGGATGTCAGGATAGACTCCATGTCACACATTCCCACACCCCACTCAGGTTCACAGGGTGACTCTCCTGTGAACAGGACCAGGCCAGGAAGAAACTCTCAGACTTGCCTCTGTAGGAGTGACAGAGGCCAGAGCCAAGGCCCCAGACCAGACCAGGGAAAGCAGCAGAACACAGATGCCACAGAAACACCTTCGACGTTAGGAGTAATGCTTTCAACAGCCTGCCCCTCTCTGAGCCAAACATCCAGAAGAATGGAGCTCCCTGATGGTTTCCCACGACAGGTGCTTCAAGGACGTGGCTTCTTCCAGGGCCCTCTCAGCCAGCACGTTAGGTCCTAGGGCCCACATTCTACCAGGCTCTCTGTGCCTCAGAGTAGAACCAGGCTAACTCCTTGCCTCTAGTTGCCTGGCCTCATGATTGGCTCTTCTAGTGGTGGGACTCTGGGTCACTAGCCAGCTCATCCATGGCTGTTCCAAGACTCTTCTGGGTCATACCTTATAAATAGCAGGGAGGGAGCTCCAGAAGCAGAGACCCAAAGGAGGGCTCTGCACTTGTTCTCAGCAGGGCAGAACATCTGCCAGGAGTTTGATGCTCCAAGGATCCTGACTTCTGGAAGAAGGCTCTGCCTATTCCAGACTTCCTTGGAGGAAGGGTTTCCCAGAAGGGACTGAAACACCCCTCTCTCCAGTAACTGATGGAGTAGAAAAGCTGACATTGGGATGAGGGAAGAAAGGGGAAGGGAGTGCAGGGAGAGACAAGGCCACTTACTCAGGGTGAACTATGTCCTGTCTGTGGCGAGGCCCTGACATACACGCATTTCTGTAATTCTCTCAGTGACCCAATGAGAGAGAAAGAGCTTGGAGGGCCAAGCTGGAGATCAAACTCAGTAAGGCCACTAGACCACACTGCCTCTCACATACTATCTATAAATAGAGACCACAGGCCATAGGTCAGAAAGTGGTAGGTGACTCTGTCAAGTGGCCATCACGATCAAGTCTGCTTTTAAGAAAAAGCACATGTGCTCAGGAGCTGCAAGGCCTGAGTCAGACCTAGGGCAGGCACACATGCCCCAGTCCCTTTCTTTATGGCGTGAAGGGTGGTTTCTGTAAGCCAGGAGTACAGAGCATGAGGAAAAAAGCACATGGCTGGGGGAGCTCACCTGCCACCTCCACAATCTGGTGCCGGGCGATGTCGTAGTAAGGGTCATCCCACTTCAGATGTGTGACAGGCTCTGGGGAACTGCTTTTAGAGTCATCTGCGGAACACAGCAAAGTCAGGGGTCCCCTGAGGGATGACATGGTGCTTTCCTAAGACTTACCCTCTTTGGCCCTTCCCAGCGAGTCTTGTGTTCCTGTTCCCCTGGGGTCCCTTCAGCAGGAAGGAAAGGTGTCTGGGGCTGCCTGAGACATGACATACCCACCTGACTTGGGAAAGTCTGGCATTTCATCTGAGGGCCAGTTCTTCTCATCGATAGAGGCCAGCTTCAGCTGGTTCAGGGCCTGGCTGGTATCATCGAGGGTCAAGTCATCCTGCAGTTCCGAGAGTGGATCCATGGCCAAGTCTGTCCCCCACAGCAGAGACTGAAGCAAAACCTGGGAGAGGAGGGAGGGAAGTAGTCAGTGGTCCCGCATTCATCTTCTGTAACATTTACCACCAGCCCTCCTGACCCCACTCTTCCCTCTCCTGGCTCCCTTATTTCTGTTCCTCAACACCTCTCATCCTGCCAAGAGCTCATGGAGCATGTTGCCAGAAAGGCAGCTGGAGCAGGGGATGGCACAGTTTGGCACCTCCCTTCAGGTCCTTGGTTGGGCAGGAAGAGCCTGCCACCGAACTGGCCCAGTCATGCAGTCCCAGCTGCAAAGGGCAGAGGTCCATGTCCCTCTCCTTACAGGTCCTTGAAGTTACAGAGATGAATGTTACAAAATCTAAGGAATCTAAGGGTCTCCACATGCCATGCCTAAAAATGGCTGGCTGTGGCCATGGCTATTCCATTCCTCTGCCTCTGACCTGAGGAAGAGGAGGTGGCCAGAGACAAGAGGGTCAAAGAAAAAAGGCCATGGCTGAAGGGCCCAGCTGGGTTTGTCCCAGGACAGAAACTAGCAACATGGGTAGAATCTGCCTTCCATTCTCAGAACACAATCTGCAGGCTCTCCAGGCCCCTCTTAATCTGTGAAGACTCCAAACACTAGTTTCAAGGTAAGAAGGACAACAGATTGCTCTAGGATTGGAAGGCTCAGATGGGAAAAGGGGCTGCTTGTGACATATAGAGTGTTGAAGTGAGGAGGTGAAGGACAGAACAGCAGGCAGGGTGGAGAAGAGCCAGCACTGAAACCAGACTTCCCCAGGTCTAGGACCTGGTCATGGGAGTGGCACCTTCTGCCCTCAGCCCTACAGGAAGCATCTTCCTTTCTCACCACAAGCTCACCACATGGGTGAGGGAGGTTTCAATTCAACTCATTTGTCCAACCCCAGAGAAAAGCCTGTCGTAAGCCTACTGCATTCCTGGAGCCAAAAAAATGACATATATGGTCAGAGAATCAGCAGGGCGGATAAGGAAAGCAGACAGGACCCGAGGGTGGGTAGGAAAGAGTGGGGAAGAGCTGACATCTGAGGCAACCTGACAACCTCATGCACACATCACAGCGGAGGACTCTGGATGGTGAACTGGCTCCCTGGGTCTAGCAATAATCGCCCTGTTACCAGGGCAACCACACTGAGTCAGCGGGAAAAGCTATTTCACGCTCCCAAGCCAAAACCAAGCAACCAAACAGTCCCAAACCCTCTTCTGTGTCTCTCTCTTTTCCTGTGCCCTGACCTTATCCACTACCCTATTCACTGCTTTTGCTTACCACCAAAACATAGGTCCCTTCCCAAGAACACAAAGAATGATCCTGTCATATCTGGTAATGCATTTTCCTCTGTGAGCACTCTTATGTCCCCACCTGAAGCCCCACTCCTATTTCTCTTCAACCCTCAGCCCTCCATTGCAGGCAATCTTCAGTCTTGGGAAGACTGAAGCCACCTCCTCACCCCCCTACACTCCCCTCCCATCTATGTGGTCCTCTGTCATTCAACCAGGAGGCTGGAGGTTGGCTCCCTGACAAGGGCTCCTAGCTGACTAAGGGACAGAATTCAGCTCAAAGCAACCTCCTCCATACCTAAGCCTTCTCTCCATACTTCTGTCTGTCACTACCCAGGCACCAGGGGCTCCTTCAGCCCTGTTCACAGCTACCCCAGAGAAATCTTTCTGCACACAGTAGGTGCTTAATGAGATGAAAAAAGCATGGGATCAGGTATATAGAGAACTGGGTTACAATCCTGTCTAAGTCAATGAGTTGCAACCATCCTGGCAAACCTTTTCCTCTCTGGGCCTAAATGGCCTCATCTGTAGAAGCAACAGCTCCTTCAGAAATATGACTCTCAACAATGTTCAGAAACCTTTGTGTGAAAGTAACCAGGATTAAGTAGCAGCTAGGAGCTGAGCTATGTGTGAGGGAAGAAGAACACCATTTAAAAGGGAGCTGAAGTTGAACTCCACCTCTTTTCCAGTAATTCCTCCTCTAGTCTGTCAGTTCTTCCAGACCTGATGTCCTTCAATCCCCACATACCTCTTCCATCATAACTACTCACAGTGGTGCCCACCTCCCTGCCATACTGGTCTCTCTCACCCTCCTCCAACACACAGCTGTTGCCTTCTCTGAGCCAGGAAGTTTAGCTCCCTTTCAGCAGGGGGGTGAGGAAAGCCAAGTCAGGGAAATTCTAAGCTAAAGTGGAAATGAAGCATCCTGGCTGCCTAAGATACCAACAGCAAGTCAGGCTCACTCTGCAAAATACTTGCTACTCTGACATTAACTTTTCCTTTTCAGCAGGCAAAACCATCTACCTTTACAAAAATCCTTGAGAATCATTTGAGGCAGAGGTTTTTACCTTTTAGAAAATAGTGAACTTCTCTGAAATTCTGATATTTGTGGGCTTTTTCTCTAAGAAAAATCAGCAGGTGTATGAAATCTTATAAGCAATTTTAAGGGGTTTGCAAGCCCTTTGAAACCACGGATGAAGAACCTATTCAGAGGCTGGAGGTGTGGCTCAAATGGTAGAGGGTCTGCCTAGCAAGCCTCAGGTGCTGAGTTCAAACTCCAGTACCAAAAAAAAAAAACCTAATCAATAGCTAAAGATACAGCTCAGTGGTAGCTCACTTTGCCTACATGTACTAGCCCCTAGGTTCCATTACCAGCACTGCAAAGAACAAAAAACAATCTATTCAGAACATTGTCAAGCACATAGTAGATGCTCAGTAATTAACTGACTAGTTGAATGAGTTGCTGAGTATAGAAAGAAACCAATGTTTGTACAGGGCCTATATAGCACCATGAGCTGGGCACAAACAAATTCACATTACAGGTCACCATATACTGCTAAGCCCACTTTACAGTTTGAGGAAAGTGCAGAGCAGGAAAAAAAAAAAAAAAGCAAATTGCTAAAGGTCAAACAACCCACAGACACAGGATTTTAATTCATGCCTACCTGTCTGAGGTGGTCTCTTGGTGAAAGTCAATTTCCTAAGTGACTGTCTTAGGGTATGACTCACAGGGCTCAAAGAGGTCCCTCAAAAGGGCAACCAAAGCCTATCCCCTCTCTTTGCACAAAACAGAAAAAGCAACTTGAAGTCGTTGGAATCACAACTCCTTGTAGTGGCTCCAGAATTACAAAAACACAAATCCCACATTACAATAACAAAACTCTAAATTAAAATCATATTTGCATAGAGCTTTAAAAAAGATTCGATATAATTATCTCATTTTACAAATTAAGAAAGTGACATGTAAGAGGAGCCTACTAAGTGGCAGCGCCGAACATTTCCCCCAAATTTCTCGTTCTTAGTGCTTGGCCAGATCGTTATCAGGGAGACTTCTCCCTCCCACGGGCTTGCTCATGATAGAGATCTGTCTGGGCCTCTTCCCTGGTGGGGCAGGAAGAAGTTAACGAAAGGGACAGTATTCTTACTGCATACGCCAAAGTGGGGTGGAATCCCCGCAGTGGAAAAACCAGCCCTCCCCCTGCCCCAAGTCAAATTCCATTCCCGCACTCTCTCTTTAGATCCATTTACATCCTCCCCATCCCTTCGGATAACCAGGCCAGCTCCTTCCCTTCCCCCACCCCGCCCGGGAGATCCCGCGCCCTGCAGCTCACCGCGTCCTGCAGCTCACCGCGTCCGGGCAATGCTCCCTCTCTGCCACGCCTGTCAAAGCTCGGCAAACATCCGGCTCCACCGTGAAATGGGAACCGCCTCCTCCGGGTCTCCCTGCTCCCCAACCATTTCCGCCACACCTCCAATCTACTTCCGACTCGCTGCCCGGTCCAAACATGGCTTTTCTATAAGCCCCTCCCACTTCCTGCAAGTGTCCGCCGAAATGCCTGCCCAAGGATGGGACTGTGTAACTGTCCTACTGGTCTCTTCCCCTCCTCACCCACCAAAAAGAGAAGTGGGGAAAACACATTAGTTCCGCTTTCCCAGATACTCGAATCCCTGATGGCCTCCGGAATCCTAGTTTCGTATTATTCTCGGACAGAGTTTTATCTTACGAGTCCTCCCAAACTCCAGGTAAATGCACCAATTAAGTCTGACTCTTTTGGATTCTTTTCTGAGACGAAATTTGGAAGTTAATAACTGTTTCCGGAAGGAGCTGAGAAGAAGACGCTCACTTCCGGCGGAGGGAGGCTTTCAGACCCAGGATGGAGGAGGTGGAGGAGGTGCCCTTAGAGGGGAGGTTGCTGCAGCTCTGTGAGTAACTTACGATGGCTACAACCTCCGCCCTGGCCGACATGGCCCAAACGTTCTCTAGTCAACTTTCTCCCCCCCAGTTCCTTTTCTTTTCGCGCCTAGGATTCTCCTCCAATGTCCTTAAGTCGCTGGGGGGCTTCTTAAGAGCCCTGTCCTCCCCTGAAACCTTTCGAGGAGACCTCCCCTAAAGCCCTCGCTTATCCCTCAGACTCCTGAGGCCTAGCAGGGCCTGTGGGTTCCTCCTGCACTTTTGTCCTCCCTCGCCGTCGTGGGCTGCTCCTACATTGCCTTCCCGTCTTTCTGCAGCCCCGGAGCCGCGCCTGGGCCCAGACCCAGGATGGAGCCCTTCGGGGAAAGGCTGTACTCAGAGTCTCAAAGACTTCCCGCCCGGGCTGAGCCCAGCCATCATCGCCATAAAGAGCCTCCCCTGGGGCTTGGCTGTGGGCCCTTCACGCGCCAGGGAGCAGCACTTGGGCGTCTGGTGTGTCGGGGAATCCCTGCAACCCGGAGTACACTGGGGGCCGCTGGAAGAGGAGTATGTCTCCGAGAAGAGTCAGGGAGTGAAGCCACGTCAGGAGGAGGTATTGAGGGATACCGTGTCTCCTGTCCATGACTGAAAATTTGGGGGAGATTCAGACAATTCCGGACAGCTCTCCAGTTAGTAAGAAGCAGAGTATTTCAGGCGCTAGGAGATGGTTTTGTCTGTCTGCAGGACTGTTCTCCCCTGAGCTGCAGTAGTTAAGGAATGGAGGTGCAAAAGGTTGTTAAAAGCTGGATTCCCACAGTGTCAGTAGTGGCTAAGGTTATTGAAATTCAGAAGGCACAGTATGAAATCCCAGCCTTGTGCCTAACTAGCCAATTTACGTGTTTCATTTTGCTTTCTGTAAAACGAATAATCTCAGGATTATTTGAAGGACCTGATGAAATAATGCAGGTAAAGAGTTCAGTTACGTAGTAGCTACTATTAAAAGTTGATGTTCCTCTTATGACTTTTTCTGTTTAGTACTTACTGGAAAGCAGTAATGTTTAGCAATTTTCCACACCCTTGCGAGGGAGGTGAGTGGACACTCTGGTCTTGACTGAAGAATCGGACCACACTGGAATCTTCTAATTATCCAGGAGCTTCATGATAGATTTGTCCCAGAAGTTTCATCCGGTTGCTTTTGTTTTCCCTATCTGGTCCCCTCAGACACACTTAGGACTTTTATTGTTTATTTCAGGACCTGTTATTAGGCTCTGGGGGAGCTGTGTGTGCCTGGGAGCAGAGTTCAGGCTGGATCACGTAAGTTACACTCATGCAGAATTTCCTCCATTGGGGTTTGGGGTAGAACCCGAAGCTCACCGTAATTCCCTACCCAGGGATCTTTTCCTGTGTGCTTCAAAGGCGTAGTATCCTTTGGGTCTCAACCTTGTAGGAGCTGGCACTGTCAGGGGAGACAGCTTGAAGAGGCTTTGGTGAGCTAGCTCTTGCTCTGCTTTGCAGTTTGGTGCAGCACGGAAGGCTGGAGAGTGAGGGAAATGTGACCCTGGTTTGGATCAACAAGAGGCTCCACCTGAAGGTGTACCAGGTTGTGCTGCCAGGCTTTGAGCTATTACTGTGGCCCCAGTCTCCCCCAGAGGTCCTGAGCCCTACACAGCCCACGCTAGAGGAAGAGGCAGCTGTAGTAGTGGTGACAGAAGAGAAGTCTGCTGTACAAAAAGAAGTGGCCTCCCCCAGAGAGGATGCAGCAGAACCTAGTTCAGGTATGTGCCCAACAAGTGCCTGCTACCCAACTCACCAAACAACCTGTGATAAGTCACAGTCTTAGTTGCCTTTCAAAATCTGGTTTGGGGGTAGGGAAGAGGGAGATTTTCTTTTCACAAAAAGAAAAAAGAGAAGGAGGGAGAGAAAGGAAGGGAAAAGGAAAGGGAAAGAAAATCTGGTTAAAAATGAATTTTCATTTATTTATTTGTTTTTGATACTGGGGTTTGAACTCTACCGCCTGAGCCACTCCTCTAGCCCTTTTTTGTGTTAGATATTTTCGAGGTAGGGTCTCGCAAATTATTTTCCTAGGCTGGCTTTGAACTATAATCTTCCTCATCTCTGCCTCCGGAGTAACTAGAATAATAGGCGTGAGCCACCGGCATCCACCTAAAGTGAATCTTGTAGTATGGAATTGGAAGGCCAGGCTTGACTAGGATTAGTAATTTAGAATTCGTAGACACTGCAAGGCTAAAATTTTCAGGCAACAGGTATAAAGAATCTTGGACTGTCATACTGTCATTTGATATTTTCTGTTGGAGAGTAATGAACAAAACTTACCTTCCTATGAGTTTCCTGGAATAATAAGGTCATATTGATGAAGACAGCTATGTGTAATACTTCTCATTTTTTCTTTTTTTAAGCCTATGGTATATTTATGTTTGATGGCTTTTTATTAGCAAATACTACTTGTACAAAATAATAGACTTCATTATGACATTTTCATACATGTGTATAATGTACTTCAATCATATGCTCTCTTCTCCCAGTGCCATGTTACCCCTTCTCCCTCATCCTCTTCCTGTTCCCAAATAGTCCCCCTTCTATTTCCATATCTTCCAGTTCCTTATTTTTCTTCTCCCAAGGGTTGGGGCAAGGGTCTTTTCATTTTACACAGGAGCTCAGTCAGGGTGGAGAGAGTTTGATTCACGTCCTAAGTGTGTATCTTCGAGGGAGAATAAGAGGATCCTTACTCTGAGATAGCCTTACTCTAGGAATTAGTCAGGTCAGTGGGATTCTGTAGTCCCCAGGTATGATTCCTCAGAGGCACTTCAGACTGGACAGGAAAAGAAAGTACTCCAGGAAGGATATTGGTATCATTGCTCCCACTGAGGCTTAAGGTAGTCAGAAGAAAACCATATCATGTAATTTGCTGGTGACATCACCTGCTACCAAGCTTGACTAACCCCAGCACCCCACATCTTGCTTCACAGACCCTGGTTACCAATCACCACACAGTATCCAGGCAGAGAATACAATGAGCCCTGGATCTGTGTCCCAAACACAGGACCAACCTTCCAAAGATACCCAAACCCTTGGCACATTGCTTCAAGATGGCAGCATGGATGAGAAGCTCCCACTCCAGGCACAAAGGCCACCTGAACCTCAGAGCAGCTCGATCACCCAGCAGGACCCAGAGGGCATTGAAGCCAGTTTATTACCTTCGTCTAGAGACACCCAGCTGCATGCCTTTCTGGCCAAGAAGTCACATGGCCCCAGTGATCAATGCCTGCCCAGAACAAAGACCTCAGAGTCTGGAGCCCAGAACTCTGGCTTCCCTGTACTCTTGCTGAGCCCTTCTGGCCCAGCAAGAAACTCCCCAAAGCAGGTACGGCGGCACCGGTGTGGGGAGTGTGGCAAGGCTTTCCTGCAGCTGTGTCACCTAAAGAAGCACGCATTTGTACACACAGGCCACAAGCCTTTTCTGTGCACCGAGTGTGGCAAGAGCTACAGCTCAGAGGAGAGCTTCAAAGCCCATATGCTGGGCCACCGTGGGGTGCGACCCTTCCCCTGTCCACAGTGTAACAAGGCCTATGGCACCCGGCGAGACCTCAAAGAGCACCAGGTGGTACATTCAGGTGCCCGGCCCTTTACGTGCGACCAGTGTGGCAAGGCCTTCGCCCGACGGCCCTCCCTGCGGCTGCATCACAAGACCCATCAGGTGCCAGCTGCCCCTGCTCCATGCCCATGCCCAGTGTGTGGGCAGCACCTGGCCAACCAGGGCTCCTTGCGGAACCACATGCGGCTCCACACAGGGGAGAAACCCTTCCTGTGCCCACACTGTGGCCGGGCATTCCGCCAGCGGGGCAACCTGCGTGGACACATGCGGCTCCACACAGGGGAGCGTCCTTACTGCTGCCCACACTGCGCAGATGCTTTTCCCCAGCTGCCCGAGCTGCGGCGCCATCTCATCTCCCACACTGGGGAGGCCCACTTGTGCCCCGTGTGTGGAAAGGCCCTCCGAGACCCACATACCCTCCGTGCTCATGAGCGCCTGCACTCAGGAGAAAGGCCCTTCCCATGCCCCCATTGTGGCCGTGCTTACACACTGGCCACCAAGCTGCGACGTCACCTCAAATCTCACCTGGCGGACAAGCCCTACCGCTGCCCTACCTGTGACATGGGCTACACCCTCCCTCAAAGCCTCAAGCGGCACCAGCTCAGTCACCAGCCCCAGGGACCTCCCAACCCCATCTCTGTGCCTTCTGCTGCCTCTGAGCCCACTGTGGTGCTCCTTCAGACTGAGCCAGAGCTGCTGGACACATGCAGCCAGCAGGAAGCGTCCCCAGACAGGGATGTTGTTGAGGTCGCCATTTCAGAGAGCCAGGAAAAGTGCTTCGTGGTGCCAGAGGAGCCAGGCTCCAGCCCCAGCCTAATGCTAATTCATAAGGACATAGGCTTTGGTGGTTGGGCTGAGGTGGTGGAGGTGGAGACAGGCACCTAACACTGGCACCCTCCTGACAGCTCTCCATAAAGACTGTTCTAGCTCTCCTTATATGTGTCTTTCTCTTTGGGTTGCCTGGTGGGTATGGGAGTCTGCTGTGAGAAACAGATAGGACAGCCTTCCCTCCTTATGAACCACAGAAACCTGAGTAGAGATTTTTTTTCCCGGTACTGGAGTTTGAAGTCAAGGCCTACATTGTGAGCCACTTCACCAGCCCTTTTTTGTGATGGGTTTTTTCAAGATAGGGTCTCTTGAACTGTTTGCCCTGGCTGGTTTCAAACCACGATCCTCCTGATCTCTGCCTCCTGAGTAGCTAGGATTACAGATGTGAGCCACTGGCGCCCGGCCAGTAGAGATCTTTTTACTGACTCCCGGCAGAGCTTGTCCCCCCTTCCCTGGGACACCCCCTGAATCAAACTACCCAATGAGGAGTTGCAGGTATGCCACCTCACCTGGGTGCTTAACACCAGGATAGTCAGGCTTCTAAGGGATAGGCACTTCTGTTTGGAACTAAGTTGGATGGCTTCTGGGGGCTAAAAGACAGCTTAGCCCATATGTCGAATGTCTCCATGGTTCAGGCCTTATGTGATTTGGGCAGTTTTTCATACCAGCAACGGGCTGTTAATCTGATTACCTCTCTGTTCACCTGGCCTATAGGCATCCCAGTTCAGGAAGGGAGTGAGATGTTGTGTTTTGTATCTGCCAAGGTACTGGACTTGTGAGGTGCTGGGGACACAGCTATGAAAAAGACAGCTAGGCATGGTGATGCCTACTTACAATCCCTGCATCTCCAAGATGAGGCCTGGTTTATATAACATAATGAGATTCTGTCTCAAAAGGAAAAGGTAGAGGTTGTACTCTTTATAGAGCTCACAATCCACTGGGCCATAGGTGAGGGGCAGAAATCATTGGGTAAGAGTTCAAAGAGGAACCGCACACTGGTGGCTCATGCCTGTAATCCTGGCTACTTGGGAAGCCGAGATTGGGAGAATCACAGTTCAAGGCTAGCCCAGGCAAATAGTTCACAAGACTCCCACCTCCAAAATAACCGGAATGAAATGGATTGGAGGTAGAGTCTGTTTTGCAAGCGAAGGCCTGAGTTCAAACTCCAGTCTTGCCCTAAAAAAAAGGTTCAAAGAGGGGCATGACTGGGAGCTGTGGATGTGTTAATGGGAGTTTGATGTGGTCTGGGTTACTAGGAAGGGTCTCCCCAGGAGTGATGGTAAGGAATACTCACTTTTACTGTGGGCTGGGGCTTTATGTGCTTTTATTTAGTTCTCACAGCAGCTCTGAGTTAGTATCATTACCCTTATTTTACAGATCGGGAAGTAGGAGCAACGTGTCTCTCAAGTGTCCTGCCAAGGCCACAAAGCTACTAGTGAGTTGAGGTTCAACCCTGCCCATTCTAGCTAGAGCTGGAGTTAGACTCTTAGCCCCTGTGCTCTGCTGTCCCTTGGATCAGCTGACCTGGTGGAGGAGTGGGTGTTCAGGGAGGTGAGATGTGGGAACTGTGTGTGT